GCGTGTGTGTGTGTGTGTAGTGTGTGTGTGTGTGTGTGTGTGTGTGTGTGTGTGTGTGTGTGTGTGTGTGTGTGTGTGTGTGTGTGTGTGTGTGTGTGTGTGTGTGTGTGGTGCATGTGATTTATCTGATATGAATCTTTCAATATTCAAATGTCCAATCAGAGAAACGTATCTAATCTCTTATTTTTCGTCGCTTAGAATTATTTGAAATAAATAAAAATAAGTACATTCAGCGGAACAAAGCGATCAGTATATGTCAATGATTATTGGTCTTTAGCTAGTGCCATTCTACAATAAGCCATAAAATGATAGATCATCAGAAAATAAGAATTGACTAATCATAGTGGAATATTCTTATTATATTCAATCTGTGATTGGTCAATTTTTATTTTCTAATTTATGATCTATTACGTGACATATGATTTAATAATAAAGGACTTAATAATTATTAATAATAATAAAAATCACAATAGTAGTTCTTAATTAATAAATTTATTAATTGTCCTTTCCTTATTTATATTACATTTTGAATATCGCGAGAAAAATGCTAATTGGCTGATATATTAATATGGCCGGCTATTTGCTCCACCATTCTCATTGGTTAAACATTTTCATGCACAACAGTACACCTTGGCTGAATTCCATAAAGCACATATACGCATATTTATTTATAGTTCATGTCACGTATATTATAATAAAATACGCTTTATCCTTGCGCGGAATCCTCGTTTCTTTACACCATATCTGATACGGCTTTAACAGCTATAACATTGCTTATAAGCACTGCCTATAAGCAGATAAAGCGATAAACTTAGTCGATAATGCCCGATTCCACCAATGTAGATTAACTTTAATCTCGGTTCAACTTACTCTTCATCTTTTTATTCTAATTCTAAGAATTATAAATCTTTTATTATGCCATGCATTTCACGTGTGATGAGCTTTATAATTGTAAATCACTAAAATTCCCTACCTGGATGCATATCATTGGTTAATCAAATTAGTACGTCACCACTGAATAGCCAATGAAAGACCGCATGAAATACTAACCTTTTTTAACTTTTTATTAATACGATAATAAATGATAATTATATCGCATAAGCCATCCTTGATTAATAAGAAAGTCATGTGCGAAAGTTGATATCAATCTGTATTATAGTTACTGAGAACTAAGGTAATAAAGGTTTGGCTTTGGATAAAACGCATATTCCCTCCTCTTTTTGCCAACCTTCGGTTGGCAAAAGTCGAGAGTAAAAAGGATAGGATGCATAGGATAGGATATTCATTTATTTTCGAGAAAAACCAGTTTAAAGTTTATAGCGTTTCTTATATACCGGCCGCGTTAAGCTCATTGTCGCCGAGATCGGATAACTCGGATAACTCGGAGGGCTCGGCCCTGTATCAATCTGTCGATCCAGGTTCGATTCCTACCTATTATACTTTTTTTAAGCTAGAAAATATTTATTTATTATATTATGTTAAATATGTATTATATTATTGTATAAAATAAAATTAATTTAATTAACAATTGTTTATATTACAAATTAGTGTGTGTGCGCGCGCGCGCGCGCGCGCGCGCGCGCGTGTGTGTGTGTGTGTGTGCGTGCGTGTATGTATGTGTGTTTTTATCATTCTATCTTCATCAGTCATTAGACGAAAAAGATAGAATGACAAAAATATGTGTGCTAACATATTTATAAGCGCGTTTTGAAAGCCGTGGGCTATAATGCACACATTCGTATTTCTGATATGTATGTATCAATGGCTTTAAAGTTTTATTTAATTAGGACAAAAATTATCCAATTCAAAAAGTTATAAAAAAATTTGTTTTATTTATCTCAATGCCAGATACAACTATTATTACGACTCAAAATTATTTTTTATCGATACAGAATCTTTGAAAAACAATTTTTCAAATAATGTTGTTTTCAAATAGTATAATGTACACAATAAATAAGCTTTAGTACAACATATTGTAATAAAATGAGACGTAATTACGTTATTTATTTTTTTCCTTTTCAGTACAAAGTAATTATTAAAAGTTACAAAAGTAAGTGTAGATAAGTATGTGTATATTGAAAAAAACATATTTTTTTATTTTTATAAATTTCGTTCGTTACGATAAAGTAGATATTTAGTCCGTGTTTTGAGTTTCATTTACAGTTACATTACTGGATACTTTTGCACTACTACATTACAGCGGAGTAATGTAGTAGTGCATAATAATGCAGTACCGCGCAGTAATGTATAATAGTGCATAATAGTACAGTAGTATAGTAGTGCAGTAATGCAGTAGTGTAGTAATGCCTCAAAATACTATTGCGCACTAGTAGTGCTCAATAGTATCTTTCTACAAGGGTTATAAATATAGGATCCGAATTGGCTCGTTCAAACAACCTGTCTTCAGCAACCGGTTTGCGATGCTCTTTTTAAAGAAAATTTAGCTCCTTTGGGACAAGCCGTGCCGCGATGCGTCTCATGTCCAAAACATCAACTAAAATGATGTGAAGACATGTAATGGATTCGTAAGCATGTCAAATTCTGAGCTATCTCTCTTGAATGATGATTTTCTATCACTAATCCTTCACTTTGTCGATGTTTTCGTCAGTCAAAGACATTGAAGGACAATGGGAACGAGGCAAGTCTTCAACCATTTCTCGGCCTCCTTTGTACCATCGTTTGTTTATGTTTTCGATAAAGCTAACTCATCATAGGTCTTCTCCAACATTTTTAACTCAGCACAATAAATTTCGGTAGCAACAAATTGAGGCAAACTCTTTGTTCGATATTTGTATTTATTTTAAATATTGCAGAACACTCTTAAAGTCGACTAACAAAACCAATAGCTGTAAACTAACTAGTTGACAGATAGCGCCAAAACTCTACATGACAATTAGGTACCATTGGTACCAACTTAAAAAATTTGTTTTTATATTTTTTATGCGGACTTTTGAAATGACCAATTCTTGGTATTTATTTGACTGTATTAATTGTAAAATTGCTTACAAAAATCTGTAACTATTCTGTCAATAACATTTTTATAGTAGATAAACTTGGCAAGATCTTCTTTCGACTTTGTAAATTATTATGATAATCACAAAAAGATGCAGGACTGTTCTCTTTACTTAGTTTAATTTTATTAATCCACATATATATTATGTAATTACGATCTCGAATATATATGACACATTTTTTTATTATAGATAATAGATTGGAAAGGCAACGATTGGTTCAGAGGTTCTAAAATACCAGCTGCTCATCCAAACTCAAGATTCTGTACTCCAGCTAAACAATGTCCTATTATTGATCCTTCTTGGGAAGATCCAACTGGAGTCCCAATCGATGCTATATTATTTGGAGGACGAAGACCGGAAGGTGTACCTTTAGTTTATCAAGCTCGAAATTGGCAACATGGCATTTTTATCGGTGCTGCAATGAGATCTGAGGCTACAGCTGCTGCTGAACATAGGGTACATAAATATTTTTAATTGCATAAAATCTGATTATTTCAGATATAATAGGATAAGAAAACAAATATGGATTTTGATATAAATATAAATTTAATGTAAATTTATCACATTGTTAACGAGCCATTTAGAGATCAATTGTGTATGTTGAAACAAGATAAAAATTACGAAAGTGTGAAAATTTACTAGATTTCAATCTATAAAGCCACAGATACTTTAGTGAACTTCTTTATTTTATAATTTTCATCTCGCTTCAAAATACACAATGTCTCTTTTGCGGATCTACTAGGTTGATGGCAACATAATTACATTTCACCTCGTGATTAAATGTTTCAATGTTTGTTGTTAAACAAATGTTTTACCAATTGTAATGAATGCACGCACGCACGTCTGACGCCAGGCTTATCAAATTGCTCATTCTTTTTTTGTTTAGATCCTAAGCTCTAGCAACATGCAACCCCAGAATCTACACCTTTTACATGCGAGAGCATCTACACAATATGTGAGAGCTATCCTCGCTTTCTTTTCCGCATAGATGCAGTCTTTCTGTTCAGCAAGACCGAGTCTATGCAGGTGACCTCTCAAAGTAACATGCCTCGTAACGAGACTTATCCCCACCCTTAGTGATCTATTCAGCAGTTGCCAGCAGTTCGATTGCTCTGCTTGGCAGAGGACGCTTCATCATCTGTTTGAATTGATGGCAATTAATTGCCGTCTTCCAGGAACCTCCAGTCCAACCAGATTTCGATGATGCCTTTTCTAACAGCGAAAGAAACACCAACGATCTACGTAACTGAGTTCATTTGAGTCCCCAGTTTTGCCAGCTCGTCAGCCGTTTCGTTTCCGCGAATACCTTGATGTTCCGGGATCCATATCAGAGTTAATCTATTGGATTTCCCTAGTCTGGTTAACGCCTGCATGCAGTCCGATTACAACTGATTCTGTAGTGGTCTTTGCAAAGGCGTAGATAGCCGTTCTGCTGTCAGAGTAAATGAATATGCGCATTACGCTCTTTGTTTCAGTTAGGGCATGCTTCCGTGCATCTCAGGCCAGCATCTCAGTTTGAAATACCATACCTTAGTCCATCCAAAGAGATGTTTTCTCTATGGTTTCCTTTCAGTCCATATATTCTTGCCCCAAACTTGCCATTAGCTCCCGATCCCATTAGTGTACCAGAATTTCGTTAGGGTCGGTCAAGAAATTCGGCCTATATCAGTCTTTCCTAGTTGGTATCAAAACATTGAAATTCTTCTTTAACTGGTGTTTCTTTGGGATTCTATCCTGTTTTAGTGTGAAAGGGCTTCAGAGCAAGTCCTAGTCTCGTATGTTCAAGATCGATGTCTTTTCATTTCCCCTGATATTTAAGTCTATATACCGCCCTTGCCTGGCATATGATTAACTGGCCTACAGTGGAGGCATAACACAGGGCTACTTCCAGCGCTTCCGTTGGGGTGATCCGCATAATAGCTCTCAAGTAACTTCCCTGTAGGCTTCTTAAGACAGATTCTCGACTTCCATCTTTTCCATTCTTGGTCACCAAACTACTGTTGTGTAGGTCAACTTTGACAACGGTATTATTTTATATAGTCGTAAGGCGACTCTAAGTTTTAGATCCCAGGTCTTGCCCATAGCTCTTCTGCATGTCCATTATGATATAGAACTTTTTCCTCTTTTCCTCGAGGTGTGACCAGCTTAGTTTGGCATCTAGGATTACATCTAGATACTTCACCGAGCTGCTGTAAACGATATTCCTGCTTCAGTGGCTCTACGAGTTCAGGTTTGTACTTCCTCAATATCATCACATGTCTCGGT